TTGCCATAAGGCAATGCAAGAGGTGTGCTGATTATGTGTAAAGTGTCTTCATATTTTGTGTTGCACGTTGAAACATTACATATTTTATACGTTGTGTTACAAGTTGAAATTTCTGGAAAAGTTGTGTTTGTTTAGTTTTGTCACTCTTATTAAAATAACGACGAAACCTAATGCGCTATATTTTGAATATCACGCTGCAAAAAATGGCCAAACTGGAGCATTACTCATTTCTCACAATTTGGTCAATCATACTTGCTAGACCAAAAGGAAAGCTTCAAATATGTACGTGCAAAACCTCACGCATTTCTTGGTGAAATCGCAGGCATCGCATCTCGGTGTGATGATCACTCAGTAAATGACAGAGTTATGCATATTTGAATCTGGCAGTATTTGAAACCTTGCTTCCATTCAATATTACTGGTAACTTTTGTCTTACATTTGAATTCGCGCCAAAAAGTAGTGTCAGCATACTTTTCCACAGGTGTTGCGAGGTTACCCAATGTTTTCAAAGTCGGTAAGGATCGGAAGTGGTATAAAGGCACAAACAGGGGGGGGGGGGGGCGGTGTAAAGGTGCAAGGTCGATCCGCAATGGACCCAGTTTACAGCCACAGTGCAGCTGAATTTAGTTTGGCTGTTGTTGTGTTTGTTTGGTGATGTTCTGAGAACAGTCCGGTTTGAGTTCTCGGAGATCGCACTAAGTGGTGGTGTTCGGTATTCTTGACGGATCCCTTGATTGGCCTGGGTGTTGTAAGTGATGCTATTTGGCTTATGAAAGAGCAGGTGGATTAGCAGACGTTTAGGTTATAATTCTTCTGCAGTGCTTCCCACGCTGAAGACTCTTTGTGACAGCAACGTGAGCTGATCAGTGCTTTTATGAGAACCGTGGCCACTCTGTATGGATAAAAGGCCAACCAGCATCAGGCAAAGCTTGGTTTGCCGTTACTGCAGCTACATTCTGAATTTCCTTCCAATGAGAAATACATTGTAACATTATAATATTGTCGTTCATCAGCACTTAATACAACGCGGCTTTCGGGTACAATCACTGAATTAAGTGGACGTTAATAGCAATGATCATCAGTAATACCATATCTATCGGTAGTACGAGGTAACTATCAGTACTACGAGATAATTATCAGTGTCACAAAACAACTATCGATAGTACAAAAAGCAAGGCTAACTACGCGAAGCAATGGGGTTTTTGACACAATGGCGTTACATGACGGACGCTAAACAGAGACAGGGAACAACACTTCAGAGCCCCACTGCAACGCCACATGAATGCTGACGCACCGTCGAGCTATTCATGCTTCTGATTCACAGTTGAGTTATGCCCAGTGCGTCACCTGCCCCCGCCACAAACCGCATGAGTTCCGGTACATCCCCTCTGCTGAGGCCACCACTTATCCACAGCCAGCGAGCCGACAGCAGTGTCTGCCGCAGGGGCGGGTACACGATGGGCAGAAGTTGGGGAAGATGGTCTCCGGCTGATTACGCCCTCCGCGGACCAGCGGCGCCAGAGACGGACCGCTTCGCCATCCCTGTGACGTCATGGTGACATCAGTATCGCTGCACATTACGCACCTGGTCTGGGCGCAAGGTGTTAATCCGCCACTGTTGCACATGAAGGATGGTCGGCACCAGGGCTGTAGTTCCACAACATTGAAAGCGTGTTAGGCGAATCATTAGGGGAAGTGGCTAAACCTACCGTTCAAATACAGGAGATGGCCGGCTTCTCTTTGGATTTGGCCTACTTATTTTCCAAGTTGTAGTGGAATTCAGTCCCCAACACTGCCATTCTGAAAAACTACACATCTTCTCCTCCCCCCCCCCCCCTCCCTCCTGCAGACTAGACACCACCAAAAGAGCTTCTGTGCGGGAAACGAAGCTGAATGGCGTCGGTCCTCCAGGTTCAGGAAGGTTACCATCTAGCTTATCCGCTGAGCAACATTTTGCTGCTTCGTCCGTGATACAAGTGTCGATAACAACGCCAAAACCAAACAGTATCTCACCTCTCCAGCCTGGATGCACAAGAACGTGACCACGAGTGCCACGAATGCCTTCATCGCTGTCTCGGCGAAATCCTAGCTCTGCAGCCGTTCCCCCGCCTCCTCAGCAGTGTCACCGCCTACGACTGAGACCGCTACGCCCGCGCCCCCACCCTCTGCAGGCGGATGTTTTGCATTGGAGCAACCCCACACAGGCCGTGGGCCTTTCCAGCCCGCCCGGCGGGGCTGTGAGCTGAGTCCTGACGTCACCGCTTTATGAGTCTGCAGACAGGCCACCGACGAACAAAACAATGGAATGATCCGGTTGGGCAGAGGCGGATCCAGCGGTCAGTTTCGGGACAAACTAAATTCTAGCAGCCTCCTCACATCCAGAGGATATTTTCAGGGCCCTTCATTGGGCTTCCTAGCTGGTAACGCGGGGGGCAGATAAGGCTAATCCTGCAGCTGTGAGCTTGTGGATGGAGTCAAGCCTGGTGACAGGAAGGCGGGGAAAGGAGGGGGGGGGGGGGGGGGAGACGGAGGAGTCAGCGCTTTTAGTATATGAAACTTTCTGGGAGATAAGCAGATGTCCTAGTTGACATACAGATATGCACGCAGTTTTCTGTTCCTTTCTCCTGGTGCTAGAGTCTTTCGATTCGACTGATACCTAAATGCAATTCACTTAACATGCAACGGAAGAACCCTGCGTCAGTCTCGCGAAATTTGATCATTTAGATGTAGTGGCTTTCAACTCAAACGAAGGCTTGATCCCAAGCATCACTCGACGAGTTCTCCCAGTTTCATTCCACTCGTGTATTGTGCATTCTCCTCTGCAAGTGTGACCTCCCATCGTCATTACGCGCGCCTTTCACGACCACGTCCTTTGCAGCAAACGAAAATTTTTCTGGTTGCGGTCGATGCGGTCTAACGTATCTCGGCCCGTCCTCACCATCAGCAGATGGTAGGAACTGTGCACGGCCCGCTCCACGCCAGGGAACCAGTACCGTACTTGGTCAAACGGTGTGGAGCGCACCAAACGGATGCCTACCTCACCGGCGCGACCAAGAGCCGTCTCAAGCAAGTCATACTCCATATTGATCCGCAAGTCATGCTGCAGCATGTAGATTGGCAGCCGCAGAGCGATGGAAATCTGGTCGACCTGGTCTAGAACGAAGCGATTTTTGGAGCTGGTCATTTGGTCCAAGAGCAAGCGCATCGCCGCGTTGTCGTCGTGCACCTTCAGGAACTGGATCCTGCGGTCTGTGTGGCCGAGCTCTGTCATAATGTCGGCCAGGGTCAGCCTAAGCCGTTCACCTATCCATATCGATTTCGATGCCACTTCCCACGGGTAAAAACGGATGCCGGCGGCGGCAGCGCCCTCCGGCATCGGCGCCGTCGGATCGAACAGGTGCACCTCGCAGCCGCGCGCCGCCATCTGCCGCTCGAAGCTCCAGTCGGCGCCGACGCCGACCGAGTAGACAAGGCAGCCGGTGGTGACAGGCGCCAGCGGCGCGTCGAAGCAGACTGACTCGCTGCCGACGGCGCGCAGGTCGCCGCAGCTGAACGTCGGCGTCTCCAGCCAGTCGAAGATGAACCGGTACATCTGGCGATCCCGCCCCGTGATGAAAGCGGCCACAACGTCAGGCCTGCGGGGAGACGGCGATCGTCAATACTCGGTGACCAGCCTGTTGTAAATCGAGCCGGGAAAAGAGTATTGCTGTCACAATTTCACAATGATGACATTATCTTATCAACTCTTTAATCCAGGCATTGATTCGTCCAAAAAAGACCAGCGCCACCGTGAAACTGCGACATCGGCAGGAGTGGCGCAGCAAAGGGTTAACTGTCCCATCTGCCCCTCTTGTTTGCCGGCAGGGGTATGCAATAGTGTGTTTTTACCCCCCCCCCCCTCCCAAAAAAAGGTGAGGCTTCTCTTTCTCAAGCTAAGGCTCACGTGGACGACCGAAATTCCGAACGCGGAAGCCCTCATAACTGAGCTAAAAGGTTCAGGGGTTCAGATTCGGGCTCAGTTTTTTTTTTGCATAAGAGACCTGTTTGATGGATCATGAGACTATCTTTATGAATAAGGTAGGGCATGCTCTAGATCAGGAGGCCCAATGTTGTGTTCACTGCTTGCCTTAATTGGCTTGGGAAATAACCGTTATAAACTGGGAGGCCCCGTTATGGATTAGGAATCCATCGCTATGAACTAGGAGGCCCCTGTTTTGCGCTATGAGGACCTTATTATGAACTAGGACGACCGCTTTCATCTAGGAATCTCCTTTTATGAGCTAGGAGTCCCCCTGAAATAAAATAGTGACCCCTATTATAAACTAGGAGGTCTTCGTTGTGAAGGAGGGGGCCATCGCTGTGAAGTCGAATGCCCTCAATTTGAATTAAGAAACATCCGTTATAAAATGGGACGCGTCCGTTATCAGTTGGGAGCTTCATTATAACTAAAGGGCTTCCGATATGAATTGGGAGGCCCCGCTATAAACCAAGGGCACTCGTTATGTACTAGAAGGAGCCCCATTTTGAACAAAGCCCTATTATGAACTAGGAGGCCCCGTTGTCGATTGGGATGCACACGTTGTGGACTATGAGAGTGAGTTTTGAATACGGAGGGGCCACCAGGAGTGCAGTTTCTAATTCAGCCGGGGCGCTCCAGTTTCCCATCTCCATCCCAACGTGGGCTTTCCCCTCCGAAATTTGGGAAGAAGTTGGACCAAATTTGGCGAAATTCATATTTTGGCATATTTTGGGGGTAGGTTGGGTAACTTTTCACTGTTCAGCCCCCCAAACTCATTTTGTGAAACGATATAAACCAGGACGCTCTGTGATGAATTAGGAGGCCCCGGTATAAATTAGAAGTCCCTATTATGAGATAAGATGTCCCGCTATGAACTAGGAGGCCTTTGGTCTAATTAGGAGACGTCCGATAAACAGAGCTCACTAGTTCCAAAAGTTTACATTAATTTCAAGATTAGTTGCAAGACAAACCTTACCTTTCAAACATGGGGATACAGGTACAGAACATATACAAAAGCTCAGTTGTATCGCACAACCTCAAAATATGTCGTCGAAATCACGGTTGGATTTACAGGTTAGATGAACCTGGCTACCAGTGACGTACTCGCGGCGAACTAGATTTTCTACTGGATATGGCTTCTTATCGGCTAGATTGCTGGGCTAATGTAGCTTTCCGTAATGGTATGGCCTCCTATGAAAGATTAAGGTAATAAAATCCAAGAACGTAATGTATGCTGTAAGTTCTTGATTGACTTTGCTAATTAAATATTAACGAAGGTAAAACGAAGATATTTCATAGCTATTTCTGTTATGTGCCAAACATTTTAGTGGTTCTAATTCTGACATCCCTAGAAATCTATTATCCATATGTTGCTGCTGCCATTGTCGTGGTTACAGGTTTCCACAAAACTTGTAGCACAGCATGGGTCCGCAGAAAAACGTTTCAGAAGTATAACAGTGTTATTTTTAGCTGATTCACGTCGCTTAAGATTTTCTGCGCGGGATCGTGCCGTGGTGAACCACGAAACAAGAATATAGCGGCCGCCGCCTCATCATTATCTCTAAAAGAAATCAAGACAAGACGTGCAGTACGGCATGGTGTCGTGTCTGCTGACATAAAGCGCCAGTTCAAGGGTTTGAGGTCCTGGGCTCGTTCGAAGCATTTTATTGTAACATGGTTCTGAATGCGATTTGGGGTTTCCGACTACTCCATCCAGCAAAGCACCCAGATCGAATACCCGCGCGCAAGCCTGATGTGAACAACGCTCTTCCATGCACGCACAGAAGCACTTCCAGCGGCGGCACCAGCCCCTAGGGCAGCTTTGGCGCTGAAGAGGGAGCTGGCTATCCAGGTAGATGCATGACTGTGGCTTATGCATCCTTTTTTCTTTTCACGTACTCTCAAGCCAATTAAGCCTCCCCTGATAAAAGGATTGATGAGGTGGAGAAGACCATCGGTCCCCCGCCCCCCCCCCCCCCGATCCCTAAGGTTTTTGAGGACATCTTTCCGGCATGTTTTGCAATCGTGCCCAAGTTTTCGGAGTCATCTTGAGCTTTCATTACGCGTGTTTGGACGTAAAAATGTATCCACAGCATCCGGCTTCTGAAACGTGACGTTTTTAGGAACACTGCAGGGCAATCTTTGGCTGGCGCGGGCGGCGGGCGGCGACCGACAAAGCCACCGTTCGCGGCGACGAAGATATCAACTGCTACGGCAATAGAGTCATACATTAGGCATATATATATATATATATATATATATATATATATATATATATATATTGAAAACACACCAAACTAAATGTCAATATGCTCAGAGTTAAACAGCTGACACATCTGTGTAACTTTCATGGCGGGATGAGTCGTGTTGACTCTCCCTCCATCAACATGTGTTATGAAAACGGTGAGTCAGGGCGAGGGTTGATCTCTCGATCGGCGTTCAGACGTAGGAATGGCGTCCAAATGTCAATGACCGCATATAATGCCAAATAACAGCGCTTCAAATGTCAATGGCTGGACAAGATGTTAGCAGAATCATGGCCCTAGTCAGTACTTTTAGCCCCAAAACTGCACCTGTCAAGCTAGGAACATATCTGTATCAGACCGTCAGTCGGTACGCCGGACTGCCGCGAGTTAGCTTAACATTGCCAGGCTAATAAAAAGTTGGACATTCACATTTTGGGGAACATTTTGAGCTACATCAAAATGCTCCGCTCTGATTAACCTTGAACTTCAACCCAAAATGTTTCGGGCAGTTGCGCATGCTCACCTTACCTTTCCAGGTTTTGAAACGCGTAGGCTTAACGTAATTAGCCTACCAATTTTTGGCCACATCGTGAGAGTCATGACTGTTGATGATAGAAAGCTTGATAGAAAACCGCTGATAATTTGACAGACGTCCCAAAACTTGGCCAATATCGGGTCAGGCATGCCAAAGCGCACAAGTTCTCAGCGCGCCGCGGTCATGCTTCTAATGAGGTAAATCAAGGCAAAATGATACAGAACTATTCTTGTGGGTATGCATGCTATCATAAAAAACACAACACAAATTTGGACGGTTGCATGGTGGATTGTTGGTCAAGATGAGTGCAGGTTGTTACATCCGTTTAAAATGCATCGTAAGAAACGACGTTTGATCGTCATCTGAAATGATGAAATTCTTTTGAAACGGTACTTGCTGCAATGGGTTCTAAAAATTGGTTAGGTAGTGCCCAAAGCGTCTTGAAAAAGTGCTGCTGCTAAGTTATTGATGTGCACCCATTTGACCAGTATTAGCAGCTTCGGGTCGACCGAACTAGCTGCTCACTGTTTCACTGGTTGAATGGACGGGAAGGGGGAGGGGGGCTGATCATGTTTTACGTCTCAGCACGCTTCCTGGAGCTGGTGAGCGAGTAGTTCTGATGCGTATAAGACACATGACGCCTTCCCGACTACATCGTGCTTCGATCAGTCGGCCTGGACACATAGTTACCGGTACATCTCTGTGTGTCTCAATGCGGACAGCATGACGCCTTGTTTGACGGCGACGCAGCATGCTTGTCGACTGTTACGACCTTTTGGTATTACAGCTGTTTCCTCCGGTTCCGGTATTTGGTTAATATATCAGCATGTAGTATTGTGTTGTATACATGCTTCGTACTTCTATTTTACGTGTTGTTTTCATTTGGCACATCGCAACATATGCACTGAAATTAATAGTCTGCTTGGGGTTGTAATCTTTTTGTATATAGCTCACATGTTACATATGGGCAAAAATTTTCGGGGTTGAGTTATTCCTCCACCAACTTGTTCACCTAATATTGACGGTGAGTTCGAAATAGCGTTAATCATGCAGAATCATTGTCAAATGCTAAATTCAACGGCAAACTTAGCAGGTTCACGCACATAGGTGACCAATATATTGACAGAACGTCATGTGACATTTAGACTACAATTGCACGCAAGTAGGGCGAGAATACGCCTTGGTGACCGAACAAAAAAAAAAGATAAGACATTTTCATGCCACGTGTTATGATATTTCTAACGTAGCAAGCACAGCTTGCATACCAACACGCAGAACGCTTCAAGAAGCAAGATGTAAGTATCTAGGGAATTAGATGAGTATCATAAGCTGATGAGCAGTACAAGCGCCACCTATAAACGAGGTGTTGGTGCCAGTGGCGTCAATAAGGTCAGCCCTGCAAGGCCTGTACAAAATGACGTGCAATTCAAAGCTAAGGCACTGAGCTTTAAAACCACATCTGGCATAAGAGGTGACACACACGCTTTGCCTGATGCTGAAAGCGTACAGACGGCTGGTCGGTGCCTTCTCAATCTACCCAAAGGCTGCCGCTGAAAGAACCCTTTCTTACGAGGTTACAATTTAGTGTCTTGTTTACGCGCCCTGCGGCGATCTGACGGCGGAGTAGCCAGGTCAGCTCTGAGGGGTATCTTCAAAAGGAGTCGAGATATCTGAAAAAGCATTTGCTTGCTGCATGCTCTAATTGCAGACACGCTTTCACCAATCAAGTTACAGGCTACTACTCGGGCAGGTCTGAATTACGGCGGGGGCTACGTCCTGTCAGTCGCATATAGAAGAGTGGTAGTTGTGTAAGTTGTTTATTTTATACATTGATGATGAGTGTCATGTCTTTGATGTATATTGATTCAAGTGTGGCGAGGAGTCTATAGTCTGCGATGCGCGCAAGAATGGTAGCGTTCTTGACTAACACATTTTTTGGTAACTGGGGTGTAGTGTTGTGTTTGCTTATGTGTTTTCGGTGCCCCTCCCGCAAGTGCACGGTTAAGCGTCGCCTGAGACTTGCTACGGTGAGGCCAATGTACACTTTACAGGTTTCACAGTCCCCGGCAGTACATTGGAAATAGTAACCCACATTGGTCTTTTTCATCCTGTTTTTGTTTTGAATGAGGTTTTTTATCATTCATAGTTTACTTCATTTTTTATGCTTCTATAATTCACTTCTTCTATTCGTTTCGATAAACACATGCTGCCGAAATACCAACGCATCTGGGCGCAGGAAGGGACAGGTTGGGTGGGAGAGGTTTACGCGAGAAGCACAATTCAAACATCGTTCGAAGACGAAGTTGCAGCTGGGCGCGAAAATGACACAAAGCCGAAGCCAGTAGTGAACATGGCCGAAGGCCAAAGCCAGCCGTGAAAATGGCACAAATCAAGGTCCTACCCAAAGGAACTGAAACAAGGTTACGGCTTGACAAAGCTGGAGCTAAAGCTGGCTTCGTGCCAATGACTTCCCTTACGCAGCACAGCCGAACATTTCCTGACATTCTAAATCGCAAACGAATGCTGATCGTAATCTAACGCGCCTGTATAGCATGACACACTGAATTGCTGCCACTTTAGATACAGCGGTTTAATCTTGGCTGCTTTTCAGGGAAAGTAGACGGCATTTTGTGGTGGAAAGGAAATCCTTGTCGGCACAGAAAAATGTAGGCGATCCCTCGAAACTTAAGTGCGACAAATGATACAACATACAAAACTGCTCGTTCCAACATTTTTAGGTTACGATTATAACAGATCACAACACAAGGAAGGGTTTTATCCAATCGTCGCGAAACCCCTACCGTTGGCGTTAGTACTGTTGGTACAGGGGCTGCACGGAAGGCGTCTGGGGACTCCACATTCCAGGGGATGCACGAGCACTCAATGTACCCGTCTGGCTACGTACGGGCCTGTGGATCAGATAGTCGCATTTTATCAGAATTCCTTGTTTTAGAATAACGAGGTGGTTTGCTGGATTTGATGTCTCTTTTGTTGATCGGCAGGATCCTGTTCTGAATCAGGAAATCCCTCTATACATCAGTAAGCCCTTTACTGGAACAGGAAACCTTGTTTTAGAATTGGGAGGCCCTTTCGCTGGAGCAAGAAGACAACGCCTGCGGGACCTCTCTCCTTGAAAACAATACTGCACAGCAGGCCCTGCTGGGAGGAGGTCCCATTCTGTCCAGAGGTCCTCCCGCAGAATTCTGCCTGCACCCCTTTCTCAAAATCCGTGGTGCCGCCCTGAACACTGGCACACTTATTAGCATCGAATCGATTTTCCATAGCTGGAAGAACTGTAGAAAATGGAGAGCTGACAGAGAAAACGAATAGTTCAGATATTAGTACTCGCCTTATTTATCGGAGAAATACCAGGAGAGTTTGACCCAACCATATCTCCATCCCCTGTTTTTTCTCAGAAGAATAAGGCTGATACTGCTGTCCTATCTATTTGAACAATGTTCCTCGCTAAAGCACTGAGCAACTTACGTAAACGAATAGTTCCGTAAATGATTTGGATTTAGCGTACAAGACCTGCAAGAAATCCTCTAAAGAAAGTATGGTTCACTGCTCTATATGTCTCAAGACAAACATAACAGCGGGATAACAAGAACATCAGACATCCGCCACCAAACCCCAACCGCTACAAATGTGTGCAACAAGCGATCGAATCAACTTCGTATGTGCCCACGGAGTTCTGGGCATTGACGGAGTACCTGCAGCTTGACAGGCTTACTTGATTACGGCCACGTCGGTGGGTAGCCGGGCTGTTGCAGACGCCGCAGGGCGAGGTGCGGGACGTCCAATGACGCCCGCCGCCACCACCATCGCCCCAAACGACGCCGCAGTCAACAATACCACGACGCCAACAGCCAACACGCGACGCAGTCGTCCACCGGCTCGGCTACAACCTGTGGCAGACATAGAGAATATGGAAGACGGTGCACAGCGCACACAACACATGGCGGACACGGCGGACAATAGACGGCAGTCACCGAGGCCGGGGAACAGCGGAGGCAGTGGGCAGTGGACACCATGGGCACAATGCACCACCAGAAAGGAACAAGCGGGCAAAAGAATCTGTCATGTTACCAGAATCAGTCTCCCTTTCGCCGCAGTGGTTGTAGTGGCTCGCTCCTTGATTCGCTCCAAACCAACTCCAATTTCCACTTGAATATGGCCTACTGTGAAAGTCTGTGCGTCGAGGTTTTACTTTCTGCATGACTTCCGTCATCGTCGCTTCATTTTGCTACGACCCGGTCAGCCGCGCATCACCAGCACATGGGTTTCACCACGCACTGGGGAGGAAGAGTCCCCCTTCCTCTCGACCCGGGAGTTTATTCGGTGCCGGAGATGTTTTCCGGACTGACTGACCAAGGTCAAAATCGACCTACCTTATTGCTCTTGGGCTTTTTGTATAAGACAGTTTCTGGTGCTCATTTCGAATTTGTTGACAGCAGGAACCGTATAACACATCTTCCATGAACTTCTTAGAGGTCAGAAAATATCATTGACCCAAGATGACCCAGGTCGACATTTTGTTTTTAGGGACATAATGCCAAGGGTAATCTTTGTCGTTTATTCAAATGAATAACTCAGAGCAGTCTTATATGATTTTGGTTACATGACCTTTAAAAAGTCAAACAAGGTCACTGACCTTAAATGAGCTGGTGATCTCTTATTTAGAAACAGTTATCTATGTTCTGGGGGCACTTCGGAGATCAACCTGGAATTTCATCTTGTTTGACCTTGTCTGACCCAAAGGTCATAACCTAGGAACCTCAAACTTCGACCTAAGTGGGCTCACGTACAGGTCACCACACCCTACAAATTTGGTGTTTCTAGATTTCTTAATTCCCGAGATCTCAGGGGGTTCAAATTAACCCCCAACCGAGCGAAGGGTATCCAGCCGGTCACCTGGGCGCGTGTTAATTCATCAAGGATGGTAGGGGTTCAATAACCTCTACTTCTTCCCACCCAAGTTTGTTGCATTCATTCTGCCACTCAGGTGCGTGTTGATGGACATTGCCAGCTCAGAAACTGTTGCTTGTAAATGCAGAAACTCCCAAAGAATTGAATTCGTTGTTCCGTACATTTCACGTCAAGTGACACACATTCCTGAACAATTATATAATGGTTGATTTAATGACATTTAAAACCTGCGGAAAATCAATTCAAGCTACAAATCCTTAAAACAAAACATTTCAGGCAATGTATCCAAATGACTACCAGAAGCGCATCACCAAGCTTGTCGCACTGGCCACGCCGGTGTTTGGTGGCGCGAAGTTGGTGCCGGCTCGTGACAGCATGCAGACCTGTGGGCGTCTGCAGCTAATGCCCCTGTTTTCATTTCGGAATTCAGCTAGTGTTTAACGTGGAAGGTGCAGATCTCTGATGAGGTGTTGCAGTTCTCCCGAATGTATGCATGTCGCTTGACGTTATATAAATACAATGAAGGCTGTTCTTCTACGCAAATGTATGCCAATATGGAGACCACCTGTAAAGTGTGGGAGGATTCTAGACAATCATGTCTGTCGCTGATGCCTCAGCAGCCCAAATGATTGTCTTGGCCGTCTCGATGTCAGATCTCAATAAAGATACAAAATTACAGGAAGGCAAAACCCTATATGCTTTGGAGAAACATACAAACGGACGTGAATTGCATATGGTTCTGCTTGCACCGTCGACCAAGCAAATTGCATAGGTATTCACGAGGCAATGGCTGAAGGCGCCAATATTGCACCCCAGCAGTTGTTCCGGGCTTGAACATCTTTCAGTTGATACTTTTCTTTTTCTCTCACACCCTAGTACTAATCCTACCACGGGCACCGATACGCAGTTTTTGTTTCCATCTGTATACAAGTTATTCGAGCTAAGAAAGGTATGTGATAACACGCTGGCCATGTGACATCTTAACACGCGCCCGGGAGGCCACATTGATCCCCCAAAGATTTTTCAAGAATGGTTTCCGAACATCGCGGCGTAGCCACGCAAAATTTTGCACAGCTGTAAACAACTGAATAACAGATCGCTTGGATAAAAATTTAGGTGTACCTTCTAAGATCGCTGACCTATGGCAGGTGAAAGTCAGACCATGGTTTCAGCGAAGCCAATTCCTGGGACTCGTTCAATCTGATCCAACAACGGAGTGTTGGACAAAGCCATACATCTCTGAAATGCTTTCTTAGGCAACACAAAAGTTGAATGAGCAAATAAAATTGACCAAAGGTCAGATATGAAGGATACACCAAGGTCAAACCAACCTGTTTTGTTACTCTAGGGATTGCTATATGGGGTAGTTTCTGGTGCTCATCTCGAGTTTATTGATAGCAAGAACTGCGTAATGCATCTTTCATAAACTTCTTAGGGGTCAGAATAGGTCATTGACCCAGGTGACCCAGGTCAACATTTTGTTTCAGGAACATACTGCCTAGCGTAATCTTTGTCGCTTAGTCAAATGCAAAACTCAAAGCAATTTTGTATGATTTTGGTCACCTTGACCTTCAAACGGTCAAACAAGGTCACTGACCTTGAATGAGAATGTGCCCTTTTGCTTAGAAGCGGTTAGCTAGGTTCTGGGAGCACTTTGGAGACCAACCTGGGACTTGACCTTGTTTGACAATTTTTGACCCGAAGGTTATGGCCTAGGAACCTGAAACTTTGACCTAAGTGTGTTCACGGGCAGGTCAAGACACCTTATAAATTTGGTGTCTCTAGCTTTCTTAGTTCCTGAAATCTCAGTGGGCATCTTGCACTCGAACGAAGGGTATCTAGCCGGCCACCCGGGCCCGTGTTAATAGCAAACATAGCTAGCATTAGTGCCCGCAGTTACCTTACGTGCCTTGTCATAGAGCTACACCGCGTCACAGTCTCCAGGGCTCTTGCACGTGGGAGCGGAGGGGCTTACTCGGTTGTTTGGTGATGTATGCAGGCATGGCAATCACTGCCCACTTCCACCTCGATGCAGTTCACAGATGCGTCCCTGAAATGCAGAAGCATGCAAATAGGCAGATTCCATGCAGACAGCAAGTGACTGTATAGTGCACGCAGTCGACGTAAAAGCCTCACTCAAATGTGAAGGAACGCTATACATTGGGTTTGCAGTGTGGAAATGTCACAGCTTATACTCTTTTATACAGCACGCGTTGGGAAACGCCACGCAAGCAAGCAAAGATGTGAGAAATGAAAATGCAACCTTGTGCCCCAGTGCGCAGTGTCAAAGGGGTCTATTACGCCAACGGTTTCAGAGAATATGCGTTGATTAAGACCCTATGGGTGAATGGCTATAACTGTTCGACTAAATATCTTGCCCATGATAATTTCAGACATGGCGTATGTTGCATACTTCGTCAAAAACAGCACCTCAGGCCTGCCCTGTGATGCTTATGACACCCGCGCAATCGCAGTGATGCGCATAATATGCTTTCCTATACGTTAACACACGTGTACTGACCTGTACGGTTGTGCGCCAGGGTGGCGGCGTCTCCAGCTAGACACTAGCGCTCGTGCTGGGCTAAGCCACCGGTGCAGCGTCTCGCGGCGCATCTCCGGCGACCGGCGACGGGCGCCGTGCTTCTGCAGGCCGTCGACCCGTGCAGCTGGGGCCCCAGGCAGTCGTTCAGTAGCGGCCGTGCTTGAGCCGCTGCGTGATCAGAGAGAGGGGAGGGGCTGAGGTGGCTGAGGGTCAGGGAGAGAGACGGGATGGAGAGAGGGAGGGGCTTGCGAGGCCGAGGGTCACAGAGAGACGGGAGGAAGAGGGGGGAGGGGCTTGCGAGGCTGAGGGTCAGGGAGAGAGAGAGGGAGGGAGAGAGAGAGAGAGAGAGAGAGAGAGAGAGAGAGAGAGAGAGAGAGAGAGAGAGAGAGAGAGAGAGAGAGAGAGAGAGAGAGAGAGAGAGGAGAGAGAGAGAGAGAGAGAGAGAGAGAGAGGGGAGAGAGGAGGGAGTCTGACGAGGGTCGAGGATCGGGAGAGAAAGGCGGAGGAAGAAAAGTACGGGGAAGAGTGAGCTGACGAGGTCGATGATTGTGATAGAAAGGCACAGGGAGAGAGAGGGAAAGCGGGAAAGAAGAAAGATGAGGAAGGGAGGGGGGAGGAAGAAAGAGGGGAGATAGAGAGCATGGAAGAAAGGAAGACGGGTGAAATAGAGAGGGAGGGGGGAAAGTAAAATGGTACAGAGAGACAAGGGACCCGAAGGAAAAGGGTGTGGGGGCGCGGAAACAGGGAACCAGTGTGGCGCGGAGATGCCGGTCGGATGCAGTTTTTGAATATTGCTGGTTGAAATTGTTGGCACTCAGCGGCCGGCGCCAAAGCTTGCTGCACTCAGCGGCCGGCGCCAAAGCTTGCTGCACTCAACAGCCGGCGCCAAAGCTTGCTGCACTCAATGGCCGGCGCCAAAGCTTGCTGCACTCAGCGACCGGCGCCGAAGTTTGCTGGCGGCACGACTGCTCGGCAGCATATTTTTTTTCGACTAGATTGTTGAGTTCACGCGTCAAATGCATGCTTTCCGCCCTGATTGTAGGGTTCACGTTGGAAAAGCATGTCTCTCGGTGGACTGCAAAATGAATTTGATCCTGCTGATTTCGGGGAAAGCTGTTATTATATCTCATCTGATTTTGCTTATTTGATATTACCTTGATAAGGGCCTATACCGTGATCCCTGACCCCCCTCCCCCACCCCACGCTCCCACACATGTCCCACTTCCCACCACCACCCAACTAATCATGAAATTCCGCGTCAACGACAGAATTCGCGGCGAAAGCTTAACGTGCTGCAGAACGCGGCGCGGTCCACCTGTCATCTGGCGTCACTTTGCATTTGGCATGACCGCTGCCAGCGTTCACAGGCCGCCCAGTGGTGCATAAATAACGGGGTGTGAAGGGATTCGAACCCACGCCGTCACGGATGGATGGAACTAAGGGCATGCTATTGACCCACTAAAAGAGACAACAGTGATGGGTACCCAAAATGGGTAGACAAAAGGGAAATAATATATGGGCGCACAAAAACCTTATGGATATTATCAGGGAAGCCAAGTGCCAAAAGTTGCTTCAAACACTGTTCGAGGAGCGATTCGTGCCATCGATGGAAATAGTGTGAACCAGTTCGAAGCGTGGCGCCATCTGAAATTAAAAGGGGAGTAACGAAGAATATCTAGTGGCGTGCTCGAGTTGCATGAAAGTCAACGTCCACGCACGTGGTCAAACATGTTATTTAAACGGAGCGCCCCACATTTGAATGTGTTGAGGCAAGCAAGCACGTTGCACGATATGAGCTTACGACTAGTAAAAACAATGTCAAAAACACTCTCTGTGCAAAACACTGTCACTCGGTGCAAAAAAAAACACTGTCAAGTCGTTCATAGCTGACGTTCATTGGCACGATTTCCAGATAAAGCACCCGTTAATTGTCCCAATCAGTGTTGTGCCAGGTACGATGATGTAATTAAGTAATGACGCTTTGGAGAACCCTGTTTAGGTTGTGTTGTCTAGAGCAACTTTTCCCACTTAAAAGCATACCAATAGTAACAAGAGGCCTTATTTCATTACATCTGATACCTGCTTCAACATGTTCACATCTAGGAAATTCCCATTAGCAGATCATGTTCGCCTGATCTTCCACACCCTGCGATAATGCTGCTCTTTGGCAAATGCAGCCCCGTATATGACCGCCTTTCATGAATCGCATGCGCCGGGCGATAGGGAGAACGCCATATTGTCTGAAGTTCTCGCCAGAATGGCGAGAACTTCAGACAATAATGGGGCCTCCACCAGCCTGAATGGGCCCCTCTTCAGGTCAGAATGAGCCATGTACAGGCCAGAATGGCTCTCGGCAGTCAATAACGGATGTTCTACAGGTCATAAGAAGTTCTCTACAGGTAATAATGTGTCCTCTGCAAGCCAGAACGGGTTCTCTAGGGACCAAGACAGGTCATCTAAAGGTGAGAATGGGCCCTCCAGTCAATAAAAGACCGCCCTTAGATCAGATTGGGTCCCTACAGGCTCAGAAATACCCTCTTTTGGTCCAAATGAATCCTAAATAGGCCAGAATTAGTCCTCGACAGATTAGAATGAGCTTTGACGGGTAGGAACTGATGCCTAAGGAAATAGAAGTATATGCATACTCAAAAATCTAAAAAGGTATTACGGATGGCTTAAAAATCAAAATATATCGCATTAAATTGCATTTGTGAAAAATACGCAGGCCCTACAAGCCTGAACAAGGCGGGACCGGATGATTCTAGATGGAACCGGATAGAACCACACAAGGTCAGACCAGAACCAGAGTCAAAACCAGTACCAGACCATGATCAGAAGCCAGATGAGACCATACAGAATCAGATAATACCAGACAAGCTCATTCTTGTCCAGAACGGTCCCGTTTTGGTTCCGTCCGGCACCGTCCTGTCCCTTCCCGTCTCTCGTGGGTCGCACCTCTTGCCGTGCGATCCCGCCCCATCGCGTCAAGTCCTGTCTGGTCCCGTCGAGATCCCTCTAGTCCCTCCCAGTTTCAGGCCTCGTCTGGTGCCATCCAGTCACATAAACTTCTGTCCAGTTCCATCTAATGCCCTCCAATCTAGTCTAGTCCCATCAGACTCCATCCGGCCCGTCTGGCTTCATCGCATTCCACCCTGTTCTGTGTCACCTCGCTCTGCGGCGTCCGGTCCCATCTGGTCACGTGTGGCGTCGCTCAATACTACCTGCTCCCGTCCGGTCGCGTGTCGTCCGTCCGGTCCCATCTGGTCACGTCCGGTCCCGTCTGGTCACGTGTGGCGTCGTTCAATACTACCTGCTCCCGTCCGGCCGCGTATCGTCCCGTCCGGTCCCATCCGGTCACGTCCGGTCCCGTCTGGTCCGGTGCTGTCCGGTCAGGTCCTTCCGGATCCATCCAGGCTCGTTTGGTCTGGTCCTGCCCGGTCGCACCTAATTTGGTCTATTCCCTCCCGGTTCCATCTCCATCATGACGTGGCATCTGGTTCTTTCTGGTCCGGTCTCGGGTCTGTCTATTCGATTTCGTTCGATCACTTAATGCTGGCCGATCTTGTCTGGTCCCATCCGGCGTGGTCCAGTCTCGTTTGGTCCAGTCCTGCTCGTTCCCCTCCGGCCTGGTTTAGTACCTTTTAGTCTTGTCCCGTTCGTTTCCGTTTGGCCTTATCAAGTTCTCTCTCGTTCCTCCAGGCCCCGTTCCGTCTCGTGCGGTTCCTTGAAGTCATGTGTAGTGCCCTCGGATCCCATTTGACCCCGTTTGGTTATGCGACCCTATGACGCGGTCCCGTCTGGCCATCTCTGAATCCGCACGGTCTCGTCTTGCTCACCCGGCCTCATTCTGTCTCAGTCTCGTCCGATTTAGCTGAGTCCCGTCCGGCCCTGTCTATATGCTGGCCTATTCCTAATCAGTCACGCTCGCTGCCATCCGGCCTTAGTATTTCATGTTCATCTCAGGTCTCATGGCAAAGTGAGCATGGATCTATTCCTACAGCACACAACGTTCACTCACAATTTGCCGTCCTCCCTGCTAGCGACCGCCGCACGACGGAGCAGGCACTCGACGTCGGCGAGGCCCTAGAACAGGGGACCGTCCAGGCATTGACTTTCCGGGCTTGGATTCGCAAAGTTCCGCTAAGGCCGCGTTTCCCATCACCACAGCTGCTCCACAAATTGCAACTATGACGTCAGAGATAAGTGTGTCATGACAGCTCCTACAGACTTGGAGAATGGCTGCATATGTAGGACGTAAGTATCGCAAATGCACTAGGTAGCAACTCAAGTAGACACTTTGGCCAATAAGGAAAGCCGAGATGGCTTCTGGCCAGGATGGCAGTGACTGTTCTTGCTTTGTGACATCATCGTACAATCAGCTGGTGGGCTACCATTCTCATCAGCTGACAGCGTTTCGCACCTGGTTTTATTCACCGCTTTGATGGAAAACAGTGTGAGGGAAACGCACATTTATTCGCATTTATTATGGAATTATAGGGGTATACAAAGCCTTGGAGGAGTTCTTAAATGTTGGGCGCTTGTACCTGTATCATTATGGTATGGTGTACGCCCTAGTCAGCTGATACGGACCATTTTATTGAGCGCGAGGCCCACGCCTGCGATACCTAAAACAAGGCCTTCCATCTAAGCTTTACCTGTCGTAATGTTGTAGGGCCTTGCTCGTAACCATTTACCATTTGAGAGGTTTGACCCCAACAGTTTGGTAACTCATTATACATGGCCTTGTATCACCCCTCTGATGTTATTTAAGTTTAGTGTTATAGGAGAATATCTGGTTGTAACATTGAAAGTTTGTTTGCAGCAGTTAAGAAAAATGAATCTGTGTGCCATGTGGCAGCCAGATTGTTCATGTATCAATAGCTTTTTGTGTGCTAGTGAGACTTAGCTTTCCATTTATGCATAGATCCCAATGTTTTTCCTTTGAATTGAAAATGCTTGCAAGCTGGGCGCATCAGCATGTTTGTTTATGGACAGTTTTGAGCTGCCCCAATTGGCAATAAATGAGACTTACAGGAGCTGTGATTAAGCCAGCATTGAATGTTTATGTACAAACAAGCACAGTCATGTAC